ATTTAATGTAAACCCTCAATTAGGGCTTTATTAAAATTCAGATAGGGACTAAGAATATTGTAAAGAAAGCATTTGCTGAAAAATTTATGAGATAAATGTAACTATAAAGATAATATTAAAAGTTCCTAAGAAAAATGCCTTTTTGAGAACTCTAACTCTTACTAAAATAGATAAACTAATTCTAATACTTTTCTCTACTGATTTAAACAGTCCTCTTGAGGAATTCATTAAGTACATTTTTTTGGTTGAATCTGAGTCCCACAAATAATAAAAACGCATTATCTTTTAAAAAATTTCCTGTGATTAAAATGTTCACTAATTCATACTAATCATTATTATAACTAGTCTGAATTAGTGAGGCTTTTATAGTATTACTGGTTATTATCAATATCACATGCTGTAGAATTACTTTACATAATACTTTAGTGATACCATAGCAAGAATATTAGACCGATAGGAAAGAATATTTTGCTTAGGAAGTTAATATTCTTCTCTGATACATGACAGGATGTCTGTTTTTTTGGTTTTTTGAATTGATGAGTTGGCACCTTGCCTTTTTTATCATTGAGGAAAATCAAATGTAGGCAAACATAACTCAAGTAAAGCTCTGAGGCTGAATAAGGTAGCAGCCTATTATTAAATGCAAAGCAGACTAAACACTTTTTTAAAAGGAGAATCAGTTTTCAGTATTTAACATTGTGCTTATCATTTAGATTTACCCTGGAATAATCGTACTTGCTGGGCTGGAGCAGTTAATGCTAGGCAGACTATAAACTGATGGGAAATATTGCTTTAAAACAATAGTTTTAGCCAAAGAAACCATCAAGAGAGCAGGGAGACAGCCTACAGACTGGGAAAAAGTATTTGCCAACTCTAGGTCTGACAAAGGCTTAACATCCTGGATCTACAAGGAACTGAAACGTACTGAAAAGAAGAAAACAAACAACCCCATTATAAAATGGGCAAAAGACATGAACAGACACTTCACAAAAGAAGACATTCAAGCAGCCAACAAACACATGAAGAAATGCTCAACCTCACTAATCATCAGGGAGATGCAAATCAAAACCACACTGAGATACCACCTAACTCCAGTCAGAATGGCAATTATCAACAACTCAAAAAATAACAGCTGCTGGAGAGGGTGTGGTGAAAAGGGAACACTTCTACACTGTTGGTGGGAGTGTAAACTAGTGCAACCTCTGTGGAAAGCAGTGTGGTGATTCCTAAAAGCTCTAAAAATTGACCTTCCATATGACCCTGCAATCCCCCTACTGGGAATATACCCTGAAGAACATAAATCACTCTATAAAAAAGATACCTGCACACGTATGTTTATCGCAGCATTGTTCACAATAGCAAGAACCTGGAAACAACCATGCTGCCCATCAAAAGAGGACTGGATTAAAAAAATGTGGTACATATACACGATGGAATACTACGCAGCCATAAAAAAGAACAAAATCATGAATTTCGCTGCAACCTGGATGGAACTAGAGTCTATAATACTGAGTGACCTCTCACAAAAACAAAAATCCGAATATCACATGTTCTCACTCATATAATGGACCTTGAACATCCAATGCAATACTATGAGAAAATGACTGATGGTACTGGAAACTATGGGGGGGAGGGGGATGGGATTAACAGTAGCAAATATTTGTCAGGGGATGGGAAAACACTTTTTATTTACAGGGTGCCTGAATGAAACGTCATTGTACACCTAACCCTTAACTGTACCCCACAAAACCATAATAAAAAATACTGATTAATGAAAAAAAAAAAAAAACAATAGTTTTAGACATCTACTCATTGTCTGCACAGCTGATAATGTGGTACAAAACTTGCTATCATACAGCTGATGAGTGAATTCCTAAATCACAAGGCCAAGTTTGGGTAGATACAGAAGCAGGGTCTCAGCATGGCAAGTATCCTTACCCTATCTGTTTACAGAGGCAGCAATTCCATTAGAAGATGCCCCTTTCTTCAGTAAAAAAAACCCAGAAAGGGAACCAGATACTGAAACATGACAAACGTTACAAAGAATTTTTTGAAAATCTCTTTTGGTACTAGTCTTTCCCTGAGGATATGTGAGCCAGCAGGAGAAGTAAGATTACCTCCTTGCACTGCCCCAGGTATGTGGGTCTCCTGGAACCTACTGTGCTGTTTGCAAACTCTCTGAAAAAGGGTAACTCACACCCAGGTGTTTATGCAGCGCCAATTCAGGTTTACAAAAGCAGGAACAACAGAAAATGTTCAACTCAGGCGAAGTTCAAACTCCAGAGTTATTCGAGGGTCCTCACTGAAGGAGAAGCACTGAAAGACAGGTGAACGGAAGACCTTGTCCTCACAGTACCTCCTGTCACTACTGAATGAACACACCTTACATAGTGTCCACCAGCATCTGCCGTTATTATTCAAGTACAGGAAATGGTGGAGCTGTAGCTGACTGGTGCCTGCTCTTGGCTCTAAATAAAATGTGATTTACAAGAATTTTAATTTATGGCCATGGATAGTACCCACTAACTTCAGGTCTAATTTCAGCAGGAATAGTTATTTGACAAGACGTTCATGTGACTGAGGAACTGCCTCTTTTACTTAAGCAGCTGATAGATTCAGCTGCCCCTCCCCCTTTTATAACATTTGCACATTTCCTGGCTTACTTGGAACTGGTACCATGTGAGATCAGAGACAACTAGAGACCCCATATTAATTCTAATAAATATCAAAGCAAAAGTTAAGTCCTGTTTTCTGGTTCCTGTTGTAACTGGAAAGAACAGCTCACTCAAAAAGAAAATGAATTAAAACTCAAGGACAGTGTGCCTTATCTATTCCAAATGTGTATACGTCTAGGGATCAACTTTGCTTTTTTCTGACTTTACCTCATACAGCAAAGAAACTCTCACTTGGTAACAGCTCTGAGAGCTTCTTCAGGCCCTCTGCTCTGGGGGTGGGAGGGAAGCAGCTGTCTCTGCTGCCCATGGTTCTCCTGGCCCCAGAGCTTTGGTTTCTCTGTTGCTGAAGAGGCCCATGACGATGACCAGTGTCTTTGTCATCCCTGTGCCATCCTCCTGCAACCTCCTTTGTGTGTCTATGTAGGTGTGTGCTGGTATCTGGGAATAATTTTGCTTCAGAGCAGACGGAAAACATCTCTTAACTTTGCTTGGGGCTTAGCCTCTCACATGCTGGCCTGAATTTGATTTCATGGACCATCTCATGACCTCATCTCAGAGTCCAGGAGTCTCCTGAAGGCTGCTAGGATGACTGTTCTCTTTACCTTTCTTTATGAATCATGACTCTCAGCTTCTAAACCTCCATCAAAGAAGCATGGATGAATAAAAGGACAATTAAATCCTGGCAAACTCAATTCCTACTGATGACAAGTGGTCTAATCTTAACTCTCCTATGTGAAGTCCCCTCAGATTTTCTAATCACAAAAAGTATTCCTGTAAGATGGTGGAGTTGGTAGCGTCGTAGTATAGTTTTGTTGTGTGAGGGATATAAATGATTCCAAGATATTTCAAAAGAAATGTTAGGGTTGTTAACATGTTCAATTACCAATAAAATTATGTGACTCAATTTCCAAACTGGGTGAATCTCAATTTCCTCATAAGTGAAACAGGGAAAATAATTTACCTAATATGACTGTTGTGAAAATTAATGAGATGGTGTTTGTAAAGCACTTGGCATCCAATAAATGGAAGAAACACACACACACACACACATACACACACACACACACACACACACACACACTTATATTTTCACTCTCAGATCTTATCTATTTATACCTTCTGTCCAGAAAACTCCTTCATCTGTGTAGTTAGCCTTTACTTCTGACCTATTAGTGTCTAACTTCCAGCTGTTACTGATGTTCCTATCTGACTGTCCTTAAAGTAACCGCACATTTCTTTGGCCTATGAACAATGACTTTTGAAGTCACTGAAGCTTTGGTTATCTTCCTGGTATTGCCACTGTCTACCTGGGACACCTTGAACAAGACTGTTTATCACTCTGGGTCTATGTTCTAGGCTTCTTTCCATGTTCCTTTCTGGTTCTTATCGCTTCTGTTTCTGAGAAAAGGCAGTTCACACAGTTGTATTCACATCAACTCAAGTACACCTTTACCAAGGAAGATGATCGTCTTTAATGACTACAGAGATCTAATTCTACCCTACTTACCTTCTAGAAGCTTGTGAGATCTAGATTCTAGAGAACATGTATGAAAATATTTTATAAACTGCAAATGCTACATAAATATTAAGCCATAAATAGTAACTTCGGCTTCTCCAGTTTCCTAACTAGTAAATGCTCTGGAAAGTAAAGAATATGAAAGAAATTCTTTTCCTTTTAAAGAGCATTCTGAGAACATTCTTTTGGCTATAGTAGAGGAAAATAAAATTAATAATGACATTTTTAAAGGATGAAAGCTGAATGTGTTTGACTTGGAATGTTTTATCATCCTTCTCTGATTCTCAGAATGAGAGATTGAATTATTAAGTTTTCTTTCTCCATTAAGAAAAGAAATGAACATACTTGGGGTTTTTTTGGTTTGATATAAAAATTTACAAAATCTTTTTTTCTTTCATGTCTCCTAAAATCAGGCTTAACATAGGCTCAGAAAATTTTTGCTTGATTTTAGCTAAATCTTTTTTCTTCCAGTTTAAAAAGAAAAATGAGGCCATTCTATATGTTGCATTGTGTGTTTAAATGATATAAGACTCCAGACAGGTGGAGGGCGAGAGCTCCTAAAGGTGTCCAGAGAAAGGTTGGCAAGACATCCCAACCTGCAGAAGTCGTCTCCCTGTTATATTCCTTCTTTGGAATTTACGTTTTTATTTCCTTGCATATTATCATGTTATTTAAAAATGAAGAGGGTGTGGGTGGCTAACAGACATCTTAATTAAGGCAAAAGGAGGGAATTCATGATTCTAACTCAGGCTCGCCACTGGGCTTTTGAGAGAATGACCCTTTTATCATCACTTGGTTTCTGTTTTCAGATCAGACTCCAACCCCAACGAGATTCCTGAAGAACTGTGAGGAGGTGGGTCTCTTCAGTGAACTAGACTGCTCCCTTGAACATGAGTTCAGGAAGGCCCAGGAGGAGGAGAGCAGCAAGCGGGTGAGTTTGTTAGGATGGACGCCTTGGGCGGTGCTTCTCTAGCACCTGCTAGAAATTTCCACCAGGAAACTCCCCAGCACTGAAGATTGTGTGGATGTGGCATTGAAACCGTATTTTATCCATTTGTGAGTTTTTGTCTAATTTTTTTTAAAAATTGCTGATTATCTGAATGTGGTAGCATCCAAAATGAGAGAAATCATTGGAAAAATCATTTGAAATATGAATTTAAGCCAACAAAAAGTTACCTGATTCTTGAGCTTGAGTCAGACAAACTCACAGACTTTTTTCCTACTGTCAATCAGTTGTTTTACTTTGCCACATATTTAATATCAAGCCTTATGCAAGTGGTGAGTAAAGACTAGAGCCAAAGGGTAAGAGGGTGGGTGTGTCATCGTAGCAGTAGGGGAGTTTCATCTGATTTTAGCCCAGGTTGTAACCGTCTGTTTTCGATAATATCCCCTGTCATTCTGCACCAAAATCATAATTACTTCCTGGTCATATTACCTTGTCATATTATCGAACATCTGCTGTTGCTGAGACAAATAAGTTAACTATAAGTGTGGATTGTTTGTGTTTAAAAGTGTAGGAAAATCACTTTATGAAACCCTTCCGAATGTATTCTGTGTTTATTGTAATCTTGTGCTGAAATTTTAAAATCTCCTTAGAAGATTAGGAAAAGGAGATGGGGTCGCAAGTAGATGGGATAAGGGGGCTTTTCAGTATTATTTTCATTGTTATTATACAGCATTATCGAATGCCTACATTATATTAAACAACAAATTAGACACAGTCCGTGAACGGAAACATAAAATGGGAAAGGTGATTGAAAGACCAGCTAGGTAGTAACGAATTCTGAAGTTCCAGCTGTTCCATCCGGAAAATAAATTTTAAAAGGCTCTGATATTTCTCTGAGTGTTTCAAAACCTTTGAATCCTCCTCTATGTGAAATTATAATAATCCTCCTCCACCAGATTTTTTATGTCACATCTCACATAGTCAAGGGCTTGTATTCAGTCTGCACTGCTTTAGGAAAATTCCCCCCAAAATATGTGACACTTATAAAATCTCAACTAACTCATTTTATTTATTTACAATTAATTTATCATTTATACTTGACCCTCTCCCCCATGCCCCCACCAAAGAATATGAAGTTCCTTTTTCTAATTTTTTAAAAACACATATAGAAGTTATTATTTGCTAGGTAAATAATAAAGTTCTGAGCACTTTTAAAAATTAACTCAATAAAAAGAAAATAATTATATATTTTGTGCAATAGAAATAGATTTTAAGAAACATGAAAATGGTGAGGGAGAAGAAAGTTTCATCTGGTAAATTTCCTCAGGATAAGTAATATGTTTAGTTCTTTCGGTAGACATGTTATGTAGAAGACTGTTTGAGGAATTAAGTCCATTCATTCCTCGAGATGGTCAAAGCTGGCTTCTTAGGTTAAACTGAACTAGAGGAAAGATATGTACTTGATCTATTTTGTTGTGATAGAATTGAAGTGCATGTCCTTGATTTTCCTAAAGACATTTTACCTAGAACAGTTTCATGAAACCCATGGTGGGGGTGTGGTTTCAGATATTCTCCGTTACATTATTCATAATTTCCTATATGAAGTCCTGTGTGAGGAAATTCTTGCAGGTCTGAATTCCAGGAAATGGTTGGCTTCCCCTGAGGAACTGAAATATTTTCTTCTCATGGACATGAGAATCATGTAGCTGGTTTTGTTTCTCTTTTCACTCTGACTGCTAGGTTAGCACAAAGCCAAGTTTACTGCTAAAGTTTGAGAACTTTTTAGAACACTATGATGAGAGTACTTTATTTCTTCCCTAGATTAGACTTTCAGTTCTAGTTTGTATTTTCTCTGGTTCTGATTTTTAATTTAGAAAACATTTTCATCTTATATGTGTTTTATGAGTTGCCTTACATTTCTTGTGCCTTGAGAAAGTGTATAAATAAATTTTAAAAATTAAAATAATCAGGCAAGCAAAGTAAGAAGCTATTAGACTACTGCAGCTGTAGAAATAAGTATTGTCTCTCTTTTAAGTGTTGCTCATAGCCGTGTGATGATTTCACCATGGGTGTGTGTGGGTGGGGAACCCTGTAGCCAGTCTCTCCCCTCGTCTGTGGCTGATCTCTCAGGATACTACCATCTCATGCCTCAGCCTCACTTGCACGCACTAAAAGATGCACAACATTCAGGCTGTTGAGGCTTCCCCTTCCTTTGCTTTGTTCAAACCAGAGGGACCAAATCCAGCCTTGGGTGGCCATGGCTGCACAAGAAGGCATCTTTTTGAGGCCTAAAGCATGGTGACCCATCAGCCACAAAATGGGCCATATTGGTGACTCCTGCTCTGGCATGTCTTTGGAAACCAGAGTGGGAACATGAGAAACATAAGGAATGCTTCTCAATGTGACAATCTTCTTTTATCTAACCTATGACCACATTTCTCCAGTCGTCAATATCCCTGACATTTTGTCACCCCCTGCTCCTGCTTCATTCATTATTACTCTGCTTAAAAAAATAAAAACACAGGTCTTCATTCAACATACCATGTTGCTTCTGAGTGATATTTTCTTATTTTTCTCTATGTTCAGATGATTATTTCTTTTTAAGTCTACATCTCCTACTTTCTTCTGATTTCTTTTCCTATGAGTCTTTTTTTTTTTTTGAGTTGGAGTCTCACTCTGTCACCCAGGCTGAAGTGTAATGGCATGCTGCTCTCGGCCACCGCAGCCTTGACCTGCTGAACTCAGGCGATCCTTCCGCCTCAGCCTTCCAAGTATCTGGAACTACAGGCACGCACCACCATGACTGCTGTTTTTTAAAAATTTATTGTAGAGATGAGGTCTCACCAAGTTTCCCAGGCTGGTCTAAAATCCCTGGGTTCAGACTCTGCTCTTGCCTCAGCCTCCCAAAGTGCTGGGATTATAGGACTGAGCCACCACACCCGGCCTACCAATGAAAGGCTTGCATTGGTTTCTTCTGTAAGTTTTAGGAAAATGGAAGATGAAATAACTTATCTGGAGAATTTGATTAAAGAACTTCTTGCTTGAACTTTTCAAGTCTTTCATACAAAAATATTGGAAAGATTGAGCTTATTCTGGCTTCTGCCTTTAAATTTCTAGTTCAGTTTGGTCTATAAAATTCTGTTAATGAGAAAATAGCAAATTGGTCCTTGTTTAGCTTGTGTTGACTGTCCATTGGGGTAAATTCTGTTCCATAAACTCTATCTGTAATCTGGACACCCTTTCCAAAAATATCTGATATGTGTATAGAATAAGGGCAGGCTCTATGTCCACTGGAAAAATGACTTTATATCTAGATAAATATAATATATAGCAGACAGTTCATTCCACAATTGCCTCCATTTTACATATTAATATAAGGTTATAGACTTCTAACTCTTTAATGAGTTAATTTTTCCCCCTAGGAAAAGCATGTGGCAACCCACTAGCAAGCATCACAAATCTCAGATTGCCTATGGTTTAGAACTCAGGATAGTCTATTTCCTGAAACAGATGAGAAACTTTTGTTCATCATTTTTAAATTCAATAAATATTTTTGAGTGCCCACCAAATGCCAAGCACTGTTCAAGGCATTGATGGATAAAGATTACAAACAAACAAACAAATAAAAGTTCCTGCCTTCACATAACTGACTTCTGGTGGACAAGACAAACAATAAACAATTGGGAAAAAAAACAGGTAACATGTCAGATGGCGATAAGTGCTATGGAGAAAGATGTGGCAGGGAAGGAGCACCGGGCATACTGGGGGTGGCCAGGGAGGCACCGCTGGTAAGTGGATGTTTGAGCAGAGATCTGCAGGGGAGGAGGCCTGAACCAGGTGCGTGCTGGGGAGAAGAGTGTCCTAAGCTGAGAGCACAAAACTGCCAAGGTCTGAGGCTGGAGGATGTGCTGTGAGTTGAAGGAATTGCAAAGAAGCCCATTGGGCTGGGAGGGTGTGTAATGAGGCTAGAGATCGGGTGTGGGAAGACCAATCCAGGGGGCCGTGTACACCATCTGAAGGACTTTGGTTTTTACTCTGAGATGGGAAACCAAAGGACAGTTCTGAGCAGAGGAGTGATCGGATCTGAATTAGGTCTCAGAAAGATCAATTTGGCTGCTGAGTTAAAAGCAAAGTTTTGATGGGCAGAGACCAGTTGAGAGGGTATGGACAGAATCTACATGAAAGATAAGGGCAGGTTGGTCCAAGGTAGAGATGAGGGTGGTGTGGTTAGGTTCTGGATAATGTTGAAGATAGAGCCAACAGGATTTGCTGATGGATTAGATCGAGGAGTAAAAGAAGGAGCTATGCCAAGGATGAACCTGGGATTTTGGTTTTGGCAACTAGAAAGATGGGGTTGCCTGTGGGAGGAACAAGTTTCAGGGGAAAATTGGGGTTTTGTTTTCAGTCTTGTTAAGCAGAGATATTGGGTCAGAAAATGCCTATACAGGTCTGGAATTCATGGGGAGAATACCAGCTTGGAGTTACAGATTTGGGAGACCTTGTAATAGACATGGTTTAAATATATGAGATTGAGTGGAATCACCTGAGCCAGCAGTGAGTAGAGATATAGAGAGATCTGAGCTTGGAGATGGGCAGCATCCTCCAGAATTCTCCAGAACAAAGGATTCAACTCTCCTCAGTGTCCACAAATAATGAAGAAGACAATGAGGCATAAAGAATGAACTCAGGTGGGGAACCCAAGTCCTAGCAGCAATTCTGATTTTGTGTTCCATGACAGAGGAAAGAAAAAAAAGGTTAAAAAAACGAAAAAGAAAGAGGTGGGCAAACTTATCTTTTACATTTAATTGCCTTGAGAGAGAGAGAGATCAAATAATGGACATTTAGGAAGTGGGAGATGTCCTTGTCATGTAATAACAGTTTGTGTGTGTGTGTGTGTGTGTGTGTGTGTGTGTGTGTGTGTGTGTGTGTGTGTAAGGAAGGGCAATTGAAGGGACTAGGAATGAACTCCTTTGTCTTGCTGAGAG